TTTTCAATGTTTAAAAAAAATCAGCAACTGTTGTTAAGGAGCAGGCGGCCTCTGAGTCCCTAACAACCATGACCCATCTGCTGTCAGCAGGGATCCCAGCTGACAGCAGAATGTAACCAAAAGTCTGGTATGAATTTTAAGGGGAACTCCATGCCAAAATAAAAAAAAAAGGCATGGGGTCCCCCCAAAATCCATCCCCCCTCCTCCCCCCTCTGTTGCCACATTTGGCACATTTTGGAAGGGGAAAGGAGAGTAGGTACCATGTTTTGACAGATACCCGGTCCCACTTCCGGCTCAGTTCATCCGGACATTCAGCCCTCCTCTTTCCCCTTCTGGGACACTTCACAGTGCAGTAGGAAACTGGAAACAAGGCTTCACTGCTGGTTTCCCTTAGTCAAGATGGCGGCGCCAGCACCCAATAGCCAGTTGACCAGCCGCTGGATGCCTGAACTGAATTAAAAGTCAGCAGCTACAGTATTTGTGGTTGTTGACTTTTATTTATTTATTTTTATTTTTTTAGGGAGCTGGAACTCCTCTTTAACAACCATGACGGTTACTGGTTGTTAAGGACACTGGCGGCTGCCGGCTCCTTGACAACCAGTTAAAATCATACACATTCCCTAAGTATCACAAGCCTGGACCACTGCTTAACCACTGCTTAATTATGGCATGCATTTATTTATTAATTTTCTTTTGCGAATCAAGTTTAGCTCTGTTTTATGCGTTATTTACTGAGCGTTTCTGTAGTAAATACCGCAAAAAAGACAGTGAATTGACAATTACAGTATCCCATGCGATATTTATGGAAAATGCGTCCAGACACCCAAACACCACATGCCATCTACTTTAGTATTTGTAATACAGGCACCCCTTGCTAGATAGGTAGATAATATAAGGGTACATCACCGGGAAAGTGAGGATCAGGGCCCATTCACACAAAAAAAAAAATCCATGTGATTCCCATGCAGTTCTGTTCAGTGTGATTTCAGATCATTCATTTTCAATGGGCTGAAAACGCACCGCACCACCAAAAGTACGCACTGCAACCGGATCCCGTGATACGTTTTGTACCATGCGATCTGGTGTGATCCAGTGTGAGCAAACGCACTGTGTTTGTGACCTACATTTGGGGTGTTGTAAACCTTGCACTGACATCTGCTGCAGATCGCAAGGACAGTGCAATTGGAATACGGTGCGGGAAACTGTCACGGAAGGTGGGTTTCCCGCACAGCATTCTAGAGTGAACAGGGTCAAAATCTCCTTGGTGGGAAGGACCAGGGGTGGACTGACAAGTCATGGGGCCCCTGGCAATAGTGGATCATGGGGCCCCTGTGTCCTCGCCCAAACTCAAAAAAGCCTATGAAAGGTACCAGGGGCATCTCATGGGGCCCCCTACTGGGCCAGGGCCCTCGGGCAGTGCCCGAGTTCCCAAATGGTCAGTCCGCCCCTGGGAAGGACATACACAGAAGTAAAAAATGGCCGGTTTACACTAGCATTGCTTTCTTCAGAACAATCTGTGATTGACAAGGTGGTGAGGGAGCATTGTGTCGCCCCCTCACCATCTGCTTTAACCCCTTGAAACACGCACTAGTGTGCTGGAACTGCGTGCATCACATACAGTTGCAGGGCATTTGTGGGGGGTTTGGGGGCTCATTCAGTCGTGGGGCTCATTTTTGCCACGCCATGCATCCGTGGCATATGTACTCCCCCCCCCCTCTGCTGCCTCTGCAGCATAAAGTGGAGTGATGGGGGGGGGGGGCAGGGGCGTATTTACAAGGCAAACAAGGCATTTGCCTAGGGTAGCATTTTTCAGGGGGGCAGCGCCTCCTCCTGGAAGAAGGGACATGTGCAGCATGGGGACCAGGTGGGATCCGAGAGAAGCTGCAGGCTGCTTGATGGTGTATGCAGAGCCTGACTCTTGTTCCCAGGGATGTCTGGAGCTGTGAAGGTGAGTGTCTTCTCTCTCGCCGCGGGTAGGGGGGTGGCTAATGTATGGGGGGGGGTGGTAGTAGAAGACTCTCTTGGGTGAGGTGGGGGGTGGTGGTAGTAGAAGGCTCTTCGGGTGGGGTGGGGGGTGGGTGGTAGTAGAAGGCTTTGTCGGGTGGGGTGGGGGGGGACTCTGGTGTTGTTGGTCAATGTCAGGGTGGGCTCTCTTTGTGCGCGAGGGGGGTGTTGGTCGGTGTCAGGGTCTCTCCATGTGTGTGTGTGTGTGTGGGGGAAGACGGGATGATTTTTGTGTTGCCTAGAGCAGCACGAAATCTAAATACACCACTGGGGGGGGGGGTGATAAAAACATGTCTCAGCAGATCATTTTAACAGCTTTTCAAACACAAGTGTAAAGGAAGCTTAAGACCCCCTTCAGATGGGGCGGACCCGTCAGCGGATCTGCCTGCTCAGTGGGGAGGTCTTTCCGCCGATCCCCAATCAGGCTTCGCTGCTGCAGAGCGGACACAGACACAGCCCGCTGTCTTCTATGGGGAGGTCAGATAGAAACAGACCGCCTGTCTGTTTCCATCCGACTGCCATCCGATCCAATTCGATCCACCAGACGGATGGGGAACAAATCCCCATCCATCTGTTTGAGGCGTACAGGATCGGATCAGATGCCGGCGACACTTCTCCGCTGACACCCGCCGGTCAATAGAGGTCTTTGGATGATCCGATTGGGTCCGCCTGATCAGGAGCGGACTGACCATTGGGGAACTCTGGCACTGCCCAAGGGCCCGGGGTCAGTAGGGGGCCCCATGAGATGCCCCTGGTACCTTTTTATAGGCTTTTTTGAGTTTGGGCAAGGACACAGGGGCCCCATGATCCCCTATTGCCCGGGGGCCCCCATGAGTTGTCAGTCCGCCCCTGCGCCTGATAAAGGGACAGGTGGACCCGACTGTCAGTGTGAAAAGGGCTTAACAGAGGCTTCACCCCCTTCCTCACTCCTTCCACAAACTAAAAAAAAAAAACAAAAAAGTGTAGGCTAAAGTTTAAAATAAACACAAAGTGATTTGTAAACTGAAGTATACAATGTAGCAGCAAACAATCATCAGCAACAATGTAACAAAAACAAAGTGCAAAATAAATCCCTATCTCTGTATACAAAGTAATGTGTGAAAAGAATGAATGTTTCTAAATAAAATACTGTATGTAACAAAAATGTCCCGGTAAAGTGTTATCCCACACACCCTTTAAGCGCTGGATCACACCCAATGCGTTTTCAAAATGGTGCGATTTTGGTCCTATTTAGCCCGGGTTAATGAGTACACTTAATGAGTATTTTAATTACGCATCTGGTGAGTGCGGAATTTTACCACACCATTTGGAGCATCGCCACTGGATTTTACTGTGATATCGCACCTTTATCTGCGCAGACCGTCACCATTATTTATATACCCTGAGCAATTTTATGTGATTCAATTTTATTGATTACCTAATTTGGGACGGATCATTTTAATATCTCTTTTAGCGCTGTACTAATTTGTACGTTTCTGAGAAGGTTTCATATTGGTTGTCTTGAGTGTTTCAGCTGCTGACTAGACAGCGCTCACTTCTGTATTGTATTTTTATTGTGTGTTTTTACCGCCCTCCAACTGCTAGTGTAAACAAGCCCTTGGTTTCTTTTTTTCAGCTAGAAAACACAAACAGGGAAACTAGAAGGAAACTTTTCACCCCATACATACCCCCCCCCCCCCCCCCCCCCCCCCTGGGACTCTGGGGCCCAGCTTGTCATTAGAAGACTAAAGCTGGCCATGCACCAGCAGATTTCTGAACAAACGTTTGTATGAAAGTACTTCACTGTTTTCTTTGCTTTTATCACTTCATTTTAGAACAAATGGACTTTACTGAACAAAAACCACAAACATTGTTCAAAATTAATTTGTTTGACAAAAAAAAAAAATCCACCGTGATCTTTTGAATTTTCTCCTCAGAAAATGTTGATTGGACACCACTAATTGAGAGCAATTTGTACGATGGAGGCACTTTTCCTCCCACTGACACCAATGATGGGGCACTATACCTTCCACTGACACCAATGATGGGGCACTTTTCCTCCCACTGACACCAATGATGGGGCACTATACCTTCCATTGACACCAATGATGGGGCACTTTTCCTCCCACTGACAACAATGATGGGGGCACTATTCCTCCCACTGACACCAATGATGGGGCACTATTCCTCCCACTGATACCAATGATGGGGCACTATTCCTCCCACTGATACCAATGATGGGGCACTTTTCCTCCCACTGACACCAATGATGGGGCACTATTCCTCCCACTGACACCAATGATGGGGCACTTTTCCTCCCACTGACACCAGTGATGGGGCACTATTCCTCCCACTGATACCAATGATGGGGCACTATTCCTCCCACTGACACCAATGATGGGGCACTTTTCCTCCCACTGACACCAGTGATGGGGCACTATTCCTCCCACTGACACCAATGATGGGGCACTATTCCTCCCCACTGATACCAATGATGGGGCACTATTCCTCCCACTGATACCAATGATGGGGTACTATTCCTCCCACTGATACCAATGATGGGGCACTATTCCTCCCACTGACACCAATGATGGGACACTATTCCTCCCACTGACACCAATGATGGGGCACTATTCCTCCCACTGATACCAATGATGGAGCACTATTCCTCCCACTGACACCAATGATTGGGCACGATTCCTCCCACTGACACCAATGATGGGGCACTATTCCTCCCACTGACACCAATGATGGGGAACTATTCCCTCTCACTTATACCAATGATGGGGCATTATTCTTCCCACTGACACCAATGATGGGACACTATTCCTCCCACTGACACCAATGATGGGGCACTATTCTCCCTAATGACACCAATGATAGGGGCACTATTGTTCCCACTGACACCAATGATGGGGCACTATTCCTCCCACTGACACCAACAATGAAGCACTATTCTCCCTGATGACACCAAGGATGGGGGCACTATTCCTCCCACTGACACCAAGGATGGGGCACTATTCCTCCCACTGATACCAATGATGGGGCACTATTCTCCCTAATGACACCAATGATGGGACACTATTCTCCCTAATGACACCAATGATAGGGGTACTATTGTTCCCACTGACACCAATGATGGGGCACTATTCCTCCCACTGACACCAACAATGAAGCACTATTCTCCCTGATGACACCAAGGATGGGGGCACTATTCCTCCCACTGACACCAAGGATGGGGCACTATTCCTCCCACTGATACCAACAATGAGGCACTAATGACACCAAGGATGGGGGCACTATTCCTCCCATTGACACCAGTGCCCCTGTCTTCTGCCCTGCCAGCAGTGACCCCTGTGTCCTCTGCCCTGTCAGCAGTGACCCCCGTCCTCTGCCCTGCCAGCAGTGACCCACCTCCTCAGCCCTGCCAGCAGTGACCCCCGTCCTCAGCCCTGCCAGCAGTGACCCCTGTCCTCTGCCCTTCCAGCAGTGACCCCTGTCCTCTGCCCTTCCAGCAGTGACCCCTGTCTTCTGCCTTGCCAGCAGTGACCCCCATCCATTACCCTGCCAGCAGTGACCCCCATCCATTACCCTGCCAGCAGTGACCCCCATCCATTACCCTGCCAGCAGTGACCCCCATCTATTACCCTGCCAGCAGTGACCCCCATCCATTACCCTGCCAGCAGTGACCCCTCTCTTCTGCCCTGCCAGCATTGACCCAGCTAGATCCAGACCTGCGTTTTAAGTAGTTACAGCAACAACTTTTTTTTTCTTCTAGGATAAAGATTTTACTAAATATATAAAAACACGAATGGTTTTAAGCAGCCCTGTTAGCGGTAAATCGTTTGTCTCACCCCCTCTAACTGCTACATCTGCAAGAAAGCTTCTTCTGTTGAAAAACAACAGATTTGCTGGCCAGACCAGCTGTTGGAAAAAAAAAAAAAAAAAAAGCCTAAAAAAGAAAACGGATGCAGCCATCACAAGTAAGTAGCAATATAATACATGTTTGCTTTAGAGCTTAATATCGCTTTAAATCGAATAAAAATGCTACTATATAATAAACAGAAGAAGTATGCTGGAACCCATAGCCTAGACTAGAGCCACATGTGCAGGAAAAGTCTCGGTGGGACAAAGCTTCCCCATAACATAAAATACTATAAATGGATCACATTGGACTTAGAAAATAATCACATAATCACAGAAAAAAACCTAAAAACTAAATAAACATCATGCAGATAACAGAACCGCCCCCCCCCCCCCCCCCCCATGTAGTAGCGCAGGTCGGGTGCACTGAAAAGCAGAGGCGTGTCGGTACTGACTGGCCCGCGGGCCGCACACCTCCCAGCGCAGCCCCCCAGGTGTCCGGGCCGCCAGTCAGTGTTGGGGGGGGGATCACCTTCTAAATCAGGGGATTACCTTCTATACTGGGGGATTTCCTACAGATCCGAGTATGTCCCGATCCTCTGAAGTTTCTGAAAGTTCTGTTCACAGATTGGTTTGGTTCTGATAATCGGAAAGTGAATGCTGATATCGCTGAGGATGGCCAGTTCCCCTGTACACGAACGACTGAGAGAGGGGGATTGAGGAGGAAAAGCTGGGCCTGTAATGGCGACCTGGAAGAATGTTCTATTCACTTTCACTTTCTTAATTGATAATAGTAAAGTAGTGTAATAGTGTTACTTATATTATCTAATTATGTATATAAATATACACAGATATACATAAAAAAGTTTATATATATATATATATATATATTATATATAATATATATATATATAAATATATATAAAAAATAATATGTATGTATTGTATTTCTTTCTTGTCTCTCATGTTCTGATAAATTATATTTATATATGTAAATATAAATTAATATATAAAAAACACACATATATATATAAATAAATAATATAAAAAAATATAAATACATAAAATAAAAAATAAAAAAAAACAAACATATAAAAATAAAAATACATATATATAAAAAAAAAAAAAAAAAAATTACAAAAATATAAAAATAAAAATAAAAAAAAAAAAAAATAAAAAAAAAAATATAAAAAAAAAAAAAAAAAAAATAAAAAAAAAAAAAAAAAAAAAAAAAAAAAAAAAAAAAAAAAAAAAAAAAAAAAAAAAAAAAAAAAAAAAAAAAAAAAAAAAAAAAAATAAAAAAAAAAAAAAAAAAAAAAAAAAAAAAAAAAAAAAAAAAAAAAAATAAAAAAAAAAAAAAAAAAAAAAAAAAAAAAAAAAAAAAAAAAAAAAAAAATAAAAAAAAAAAAAAAAAAAAAAAAAAAAAAAAAAAAAAAAAAAAAAAAAAAAAAAAAAAAAAAAAAAAAAAAAAAAAAAAAAAAAAAAAAAAAAAAAAAAAAAAAAAAAAAAAAAAAAAAAAAAAAAAAAATTTGAACATTGGGACAGACGTTCTGAAAAATTGTTCGTCACAGCATTTTGATAGCACGCCTACGGACTCAATAAATTTCATTCCAATGGTTTAAAATTCCACCTTTTCAATTTCAGGACGCCCAGGCGCATTGCAATAAATCGATTTCCAAGCAAAATGCCACATTCACAGCTAGAATTTTGTTCATTCGAGAAAAAAAAAAATTCCATCCTTTTCTTTTTCCTTCGAAGGTCAAAATGATTGTCGATTTGGCTCCACTATTAGAAAATGGAAATAGAAATGAATGTTCCATAAATAAACTTTTTTCGGAACGGAACAAAAACTCTACTGGTGTACAGCCGGCTTAAAATGGTAATTAACTTTAATGTTAACCCCTTCCTGGCCCTTTATGAGTTTTTAAATGCTGGGTCATGTGACCACGGTGATCACCTGTCACATCAGTCACATGATCGGAAAGCTCCTGATCTCAAGTATGCCCCAGGAGCTTTCCAGTCCCCCACCGGTGTCTGTGCAGCGGGAACATACAGGGCACACTCACCACAGAAAAGTGTTTTCAGAGCAAGGGGCAGACACTGACCATTTGGGCACCTGGGCACTGCCCGAGGGCCCGGGGTCAGTAAGGGGCCCCATGAGATGCTCCTTGTACCTCTCATGGGCTTTTTTGGGTGTTGTTTGAGTGTGAGCAAGGACACAGGGGCCCATGATTTCCTATTGCCTGGGGGCTCCATGAGTTGTCAGTACCGCTGCTGTTTCAGAGGTCCATTATAGCCCACCCACCAAGAGATAGCATATATGTGTCATGTTGGCAGGAACAGGTTAACATTTTCCCTGAGGGGAAAGCTTATACACTTCTCAAAAAAAATGAAAGGAACACTTTGAAAACCCATCAGACCTCAATGGGGAGAAATCTCCTGCTGGATCTCTATACTGACATGGACGGGTGTTGTGTGAGGAACCTAAGGACCAGCGCCCCATCGTTTGATGGAAACGATCGACCTACAGAGGACTGAATTCAAAGACACCCCGAAAATCAAAGTGAAGAAATAATACAGCAGGCGAGTCCATTTGGTGAAATGTCATTGCAGCAACTCAGAATGGTCCTCAGTAGTCTGTGTGGCCCCCACATGCTTGTATGCATGCCTGACAACATCGGGGGAGGCTCCTAATGAGACCAAGGATGGTGTCCTGGGGTATTTCCTCCCAGATCTGAACCAGGGCATCACACTGAGCTCCTGGACAGTCTGAGATGCAACCTGGCGGCGTTGGATGGACTGAAACATGACATCCCAGAGGGGTTCTATTGGATTTAGGTCAGGCAAGCGTGTGGGGACCATTCAATGGTATCAATTCCTTCATCCTCCAGGAACTGCCTGCATACTCTACACATGAGACCGGACATTGTCGTGCACCAGGAGGAACCCAGGACCCACTGCACCAGTGTAGGGTCTGGCAATGGGTCCAAGGATTTCATTCCCGATACCTAATGGCAGTCAGGGGTGTCATTGTCTAGCCTGTAGAGATCTGTGCGCCCCTCCATGGATATGCCTTCCCCAAACCATCACTGACCCACCACCAGAACGGTCATGTTGAACCATGTTACAGGCAGCAGAACGTTCTCCACGGCTTCTCCCAGACCCTTTCACGTCTGTCACATGTGCTCAGGGTGAACCTGTTCTGATCTGTGAGAAGTACAGGGTGCCAGTGGTGGACTACGGTGCTGGGCAGTGAGCACAGGGCCCACTAGAGGATGTCGGGCCCTCAGGCCACCCTCATGAAGTCTGTTTCTGATTGTTTGGTCAGAGACATTCACACCAGTGGCCTGCTGGAGATAATTTTGTAGGGCTTCTGACAGGGCTCATCCTGTTCCTCCTTGCACAAAGGAGCAGATACCGGTCCTGCTGATGGGTTAAGGACCTTCTATGGCCCTGTACAGCTCTCCTAGAGTAACTGCCTGTCTCTTGGAATCTCCTCCATGCTCTTGAGACACGGCAAACCTGGCAATGGCACATATTGATGTGCCCTCCTGGAGAAGTTGGACTGCCTGTGCAACCTCTGTAGGGGTCCAGGTATGGCCTCATACTACCAGTAGTGACACTGAACTCTAACCAAATGCAAAACTAGTGAAAAACAGTCAGAAAAGATGAGTAGGGAAAAAAATGTCAGTTGCCTCCACCTGTAAAATTCATGCAAAACCCCACGTAATCCCAAGGGGTTCACATACTTTTTCTTGCAACTGTATTTATAAATTGTAAAATACAAGAGAAATGTAAAATCAGATCAAAATGAGAAGCATGTGTCGTAAAGGATGCAGAGTGGTTCAGGAACCCCTATGGGTGGTCTGCTGGGGAACTGTGAACCTCTGGATAGCTGGTGGCCATGGGGCAGACTGACCA